CCAGGACTTGAACCAGACCTCTTCCTGGCACAGCTAAAAGGTGGTGATTTTATTACCATTTTACTGCTGCAATCACAGAGTTTCAGTAACTACTCCAAGGTCACAAAGCTAGTTACTGGACAATGTAGGATTCACACTCAGACCTGTCTGGTGATCACACTTACTATGCTGCCCCTCTGTAAACTAATCATGAACATTCCAAATGTCCTAGACCGGAGGCCAGCAAACTACGGCCCACAGGCCAAATCCATCCTGGCCACCTGCTTCGGTAAATAAAGTTTTAGTGAAACACAGCCACACTCATATTGCCTATGGCTGCTTTCACACTACAGTCGCAGAGCTGAGTAATTGTGACACAGACCAACAACAAAGCTAAGGGTATTTACTGTTGCTGCCATTTATGGAAAAAGCTTGCCAACCCCTGGCCTGGAGGCTTCCTTCTTCTACTACTAATCACAAGGTCTTCAAGATAGACAGGGTCTCCATGGATGCTACCTCTAGTTCAGGCTCACAATAGCTCTAGGAACATGACCGGCTCAAGGTCCAAAGTGGGCAAAGATGAGAAGAACAGTAGAAGATCCTAAAGTTTCACAATCATGAAGTCTGCAGTGTGAAGAAACCCATTCTCTAACAGCAAAATAAACAGCAGCTATAGATAGCATCGATGTAAACACACCTGCCTACTCCTTGGCACTTGGAGCCTTTGTTTTGCATCTCATTCAAACACGGGCAGAATCCATCAGCAGGAATCCTAAAAGTTTCCAGTCTTTAGTCAAACAAATGATGAGGAAACCTGTCAGTCTTACTGAACAGTGAAGCCCCAGTTTTTATTAGAAAAGGAGACAAAATATTGTGATGTGAGCTTGTATTAGTGGAGAGGAAAAAGGCTTTTAAGTAAGATGGTGACGTGTAAAAGCCATATTCCACAGTAAGACAAAGAGCAAAATCACAGTACTGCTCATTCCTGACAGAAATTAGAGGAGCTGGAAGACTGCTTACCAGGCTCCACATCCTTCTCCACCCAAAGTGGCAAACTCCTGGGAAGGTGTGGATTCCATTGGTTCATTTGCAAGCATCTTCCAACCAGGACAGAAAATGAATTTCATCTGCAAGGAAGAAGTAATCTGAATCCTTATGTAAATTTCCTATTTTCTCTTCCACTTTGTATTCCCTCCACGTCCCAGATTGCCCGAGGGTTTGTCACACCCTGAGCCCAACATTTGGCTGCCTTGAGGATTACCTAGGTAGCAATTTAAAATGACTGCGCCCTACGCCCCACCCCAAAGCTGCTGACTCAGAACTTGCAAAGGGTGAAACGTGACACTTGGTAGTTTGCAAACATCCTTCAGGTAATCTTAGTCCATAGTCAGGTTTTATAATCACTCTGAAAATGATTCCCCAAGCTCACAAATGACTTTAGTGCAAACCCCCCTACTTTGCCTACTTGAAATTAAGAAATAAAGGGGAGCATGCAATGAGAATGTGGTTCTCCCTTGAATTAATAAACAGAAAACTTTTGAGATCCTACCTAATGCAGTAGTAAATGATCCTTATCCATTACTTGTTAGCTGATAGACTTTAGAAAACATTTAATCTCTCTAGGCTTTATCCCTCAGCTGTTAATGGGCAAGTTTAGTTCAAGTGGGTCAAAAACTCTTGAGTTTTATATATATTGTCATACACCCATTCATGGAATAAATTCTGCACTATTTTTTATTTCTCTCCCAGCTCTTCCCCAAAGCCCCACCACTTTAAAATATTCCTTTAAAGATGGATGAGTTATCTCTTTGACTCTCATCCCTATAACTCACCTAGTACCTAACGCAGGCACCAAGAAGGTAAAAGAGGGAAGAGAGGCGAGTAGGTAGGAGGCAGAAAAATGGTCACTTCTGATTCCAGTGATTTCCTCCAGATCCTCTGTCCACATGGGTCAGCAACTCAGAGTTCTATGTTTTACGCCGCACAGGTACAAAGCACACAAAAGGTATGCAGAGAAGACTTGTAGATAATGTTCATTTAGCTACAACTAGTGAGCAACTGTATTCAACTATGTCAGAGAATAGCCAAAACCTAAAAATGGTCTCTGTGGAGGCTAACCTTAGCATATTGGACAAGGAGAGCTGGATCCTTCTGGGGGAGTTCATCTGGCCTCCTAGGGAACGCGAGAGCCAGACAGAAGGCAAGTGTAGGGGGACGGGAGTTCTTTCCAAATTACAGAGGATCCAAAAGGCACTTTGTGATTGGCACAGAGGGGGATTGAAAAGTCACCCATTGGTATTGGTCGTTATCCCTGTACAATGTCAGATACATGACACCATCTGCATCTCCCATTTAATACTGGAGTGTAGTTCTCAGCCTGGTTCAGTGTGAGGTATTGAAGCCTCAGGCAGGCTTTAGATTATGCAGGGGTCAAGCCTTTCTCCGTGTGGGCAAGGTTTGAGCAGAAATTTCCTTTATTCACTACAAAACTGAAATAAATAAGATCTATATTTATTGCTTTATTACCTGCTTTTTGCACCTGATAATGGACTAGAAACAGCTTCTATCAAAATATATTACTCTTTAACATTATTTTTAATGACTCCAAAGTATTCCATTATATGAGTGTGCTATCACTTTCACATATTCTGTTGTTGATATCTAGGTTGTTTTCATTTTTCTGATATTATAAATGGAGCTCCAGTGCAAAGTCTCAGAGCCAAACACTGCACAGAATCTCATTTGTTTTCTTTTGGTGCATTTCTAGAAATGCAAGCACTAAACCAAAAATTATCGGCATCTTCAAAACTATATATATACTGCCAAAATTGTCCTCTAGTAACAGATTACCATTTGATACTTCCACCAAAAAAAGGCATGTGCTACATCTTTCATGTGTAAGATCACAGGCAAGGATAAGCAGAGAGTTGAGGACTCACTAAGCTTCTGATTCTTCTCCAGCAGGGAATAGCTGACTACTGGACAGCCTGCTTCTGTTTTAGGCAGACTTGCTTACTGTCTCAACTGGGACTCCTGGAGAAGCGGACCTTGAGACAAGGATTTAATTATAAGTGGCTCATTTGGGAGGTGATCCCAGGAAATACTAATTGCAGGTTGGTGATTAAGGGGAGAGGAGAGAATATGTAAGACAGGGTATGGAAAGGAGTAAATTAAGGGTATGCTGTTGAGCAAGTTACCCCTGTGAGCAGCTGGAGATTGATCTTACTGGGTTAATCTGGAAACAGTGTAGGAGACACTCATCAGTTAGCTTCTTGAAGGATGAGAGAACTGGAGTGGCTCTCCACCAACTCTCACCAGTCATTGGTTGAAAGCTGCTCTGGGGGCAGAGGAGGAAAGATGATTCTTCATCACCTCTAGCCTGCAGTGAGCATGGCCAGGCAATGGGGTGAAGAGCTAGCTAACTCTGCAATAGTAAGAGCCATCAGGGCTGCAGTACATTATGGGAGATGCATGCATGGGAGGGCCAAATGGGGCAATGATATACTGCTCATTTCCCTGTCACTTTTCAGCCCCTACACAACATGGCAAAGGTGTTTTAGAAAGCTACCATGAGTGTCCAGACTATAGTGCAATGTCATGGATGAGAAGCCATCATGCCATCTATTGGAGTACTAGAGGCCCGGTGCATGAAAATTCATGCAGTGTGTGTGGGGGGAGGCGAGGGTCCCCTCAACCCAGCCTGCCCTCTATCACAGGCCAGGAACCCTCAGGGGATGTCCTACTGGCAGCAGTCTGGCCTCCCTCTGCAGGAGACAACCAGGCAGATCAGGTGAAGGCGCTGCCCCCATCACCCTGCTGCTGCTGCCACTGCCAGCCCCCACAGCTGCTGGCCCCTGCAGCTGCCAGCCCCCAGCCCTCCCAGCCCTAGACCCTCGCTTCTTAGCACTGGCCCTGCCCCTTGCCCAATGGTGGATGGGTGGGATCTGGGGCCAGGCCGGCTCGGGGAGGTGCTGTGGGAGGTTGAGGCACAACAGGTCGCACCCAGTCCAGCCTCGGCAGAGGCGTGGCTCCAGGACCAGGATTGAACTGCTGCCTCTGTGGCTGCCTCTGTGGAAGGGGCAGCAACTGGGAGCGGGACTGTGCCACCGGCCCTCGGCCCTCGTCCAGAAGATATCTGGTCTATCTGGTCTAATTAGCATATAACCCTTTTATTAGTATAGATAATATGCATAAAATGTACAAGTTTAGGATTTTCCCTTCTAGCTGTGATAGAGTAACAAGGACCAGCTATGCATACACCCCCAACCATAACTAAAAAAACTGGACCAAATATGTGAAACAATGGTTTTCAAAGATTGGACAACAAAAAGAGCAGGACAGTGGTCCCTAATAGAAGGAAAACAGACTAGTTGAACCTATGATTTCCCCAGATTACTATTTGGAGAGAATTTTCAGGCTTCAGCACAGGGAGAGGGACCTGCAGAGTCAGTGGGGGAGGGGAAGCCAAGGAAGATAGAGTTTACAGGGCAGAATTCCAGAGAAGTGGAGGGAAAGGGAAGGGGAGGGAAGAGGAGGGGAGGGGAAGGGAGGGGAGGGGAGGGGAGGGGAGGGGAAGGGAGGGAGGGAGGGGAGGGGAGGGGAGGGGAGGGGAGGTAAAGAGAGGCAGAAGTGAAGGGAGCTTCAGAGTTCTCCACAGAATTCTCACTGTGTCTTTCGCTAAATACTGATCAACCTACTCCTGTGAAGAAACCATCCAAAGCCAGAGAAAGAACCCCTGCAAAGGAGCAGGTGAAATACTACTCAAAGCTTATTAAGAATTGAAAATAATTACTATTTCCAACAGCAAAATGGAGACACCTCACAATATATATTTGGTTGAGTGCTGAGTTCTCAATCTAAATATTTCCGTTGCTTCGCTTAGAAGTCATCCCCCCGAACCTCTGGTTTTAGGCATTTCTTGATCTGTGTCCTGCCAGTACATATTAGACCCATCTTTCCTTATGTTTCACATAAATGAAATCATGCACTAAGAACTCCTTTTATTTAAGTGCATCCCACTTTATTGCTGAGTAGTATTCAGTTGTATGGATGTGTCGTTATTAGTTTATCCATCACCAGTTGATAAACACCCAGGTTGTTCCAAGTTTTGAGTAAATATGAAGATACTCTGAACATTCACATACAGTCTTTGGTCTCAACGAGTTTCACTTTTCTTGGGTAGATACCTAGGAATGAAATGGGTGAGTCATCTGGTAAGTGCATATTTAACATTATAAGAAATTGTCAAGCTGTTTTCAAAGTGGCTGTCTCATTTTACATCCCACCAGCACATATGAGAGTTCCAGTGGTTCCACATCATTGCCAGCACTTGGCATTGTCAGTCTTTCATCTCTACTTTTTTAAATTTATACATTCTGATCATTATGTAATACTATCTCATGGATTTAATTTGCATTTTCGTGGTGATTAATGGTGTTGAGCATTTTTGTATTCTTATTGGCCATTTATATATATTTGTAGTGTCTCTTCAAATATGTTACCCATTTCTAACTTACATTCTTTCATCTTATTGAGCTGGGAGAATTTTTTATATATTCTAGATACAAGTCCTTTGTTAGGGATGCTTAACAAATAGTTTCTTTTCTTTTGTGACTTGACTTTTCATTTTCTTAATGGTATCTTTCAAATAACAGACATTTTGTTTTGCTTTGATATTTACAATTTCTTTTCACTCTCAAAACAGTTACCTAGATGAGCCTGGTATTGTTTGAACACCTTAGAGATAAGAAACCTTATAGGTTCATTACCTTGCTCAAAGTCCCATAGCTGGTCAGAGATGACATCAATAGCAGACCATCAGTTTCACGATTCCAGATCAGTACAGAATCTCAGTGGGCTGGCTTAGGAGCAATTCAGGGGTTTACCCTCTTGCACAACATCTGAGAGAGACCTGCTCTATGTGGAGAGTCTGCTCCCCTGGCAGATGGAGGATTTCAAGGCTTTAGTTTAAATTTGTATTCCAGATGTGGCTGTGTCTTCCACCCATGAAGGGACACGTGGAGAAAGAGCAGGAGCTACCAGCAGCTTCAGACTCCTTCAAGCCGAAAGCTATTTATTAAACCTGACAGATGAAGGGAGAGCAAGATCGCATGCCCTCTTGTCGCCTCTGACCTCCCATCAACTTCTGTTCCTTCTTGGACTTTTAAAAAATCACTTTTTAATGATGCCCATAATTCATGAAAGGAAACAATAAAATCAAAACAGATTACCACTGGCTTATAAACGCCAGTGCCATTAATTATTAACGGACCAAGAGGGAAGTCAGGCATGATCCCAAAGGTGAGAGAGATAAAGGCCACAGTGGTGGTGAGGAGGGCTGATTGGAAACCTTTGTGCCCAAGATTTCTAATTTGTACCTTGCATACTAAATTGAATCTCATTCCTTTTCTCAAAGAGCAAGCAGAAGTTTAGCTAAAATGGGGGCCTTGGCAAACAGGGAAGGAAAAGCCCCATACTGCAGAGAGAAAAATCCTGAAGCCCAAAGCAGGGCCTGCCTTTGTTACAGGAGAGCGATGCACAACCTGTTCCTTTCTACTCCCAGTCCTGCTCCCTAACTGTGCCTCTTCCTTATGTGACACTTGACATCAAGGGAGATGACGTTTTCCAATATAAAGGGAGTTGTTACTTGCAAAGCCTAAGAATTCCTCCCCACGTTTACTGTTCCTAAATTCATCACCACTTCTCCAATGCAGACTCACCCCCTGCTCCACTAGGAGGAGCCTGTGAGGGTGGGGCCCTGGAACAGTGATTTACCTACAGAACTTCAGTGTCCTCAGTCCCTCCCAGCACCTGGAACTTCTCTAAGAAGAGATATATTCCTGAGGGTCATAGAGGCGGCTCCACATTCAGAAAATTCCAACTGTATCTGAGCTCGTGGGAACTTGGGACAGTGACTTCTCTAAGGCTCTTTCTTTATCTGTAAAATGGGGCAAATGATATTATCTGCCTCATCAGGTGGTTCTGAGAATTAAATGATGATGCACTAAAGAGCTGAACACAAGTAGAGAGTTGTTAGTTGAGGGTGGCAGGGAACCCGATGAGAGGCTGGGAAGGAAGACAGACATCCGAAAAGCTTGGTGAGGTCTGTGACTAAAGCACGATCCACTACAGCCTCCTATGCAATGTTGCGTGGAACTGTGGTCTTGGAGCAGAGAATAAAACCTGGGTTAAACAGACCATCCTCCCACGGAGAGAACTGGACCTGTTGCTCACGTAAACGGGCGAAGGGAGGGCTGTGAGGCGGCGCTGAGCTCACATTGCCAACTGGAGGGAAAGGAGTTGACTCAGGCAGGGAGCTCTAAGCTACACAGGAGACACCGATCAGTTTCTTCACCGGAACCCCCGGTTCAGCCAAATCCTGCAATTTATCGTCTTATTTTAAACAAAGGGACTTATTTGAATGGTGTTTCTATTATTTTCCCTTTCAGCATTTGATTTACACCATAATTCTGGAGAAGAACATGCTATTGAACTTAAGGCAGAAATTTCAGAGAAGTAAGACATGAGTAGCCCTTTTAGTCAGAGAGCAAGGAAAGGTCTTTTGGAGAAAATACCTGTTTGCCTCAGAGGCTAATGTTCTTCCCCATCAGCTTCTCGGTCCCTCTCCAGCAACATCAGATTCCTCCTCACCACCTCATATGTCTCCTGCTGCGGCGGTGAGCACGAGATGCTGGCATTCTGCTTAGATGTGTTTCAACTGTATAAAGAATTTAGAAGGTTGGTCTGTAACCCAGACATGATTTACCACTCTCCTGTTCTTCACTTCCAGCCCAAAGGCAAGATAAACCCCAGGACTTTCCAACAGGGTCTAGCTCTCAGGGGCAGAACATTGAGATGTCCGAAGGCCTTCCTGGCAGCGTGGAACCAGGCTTTCACTTCCACTTCCATTTAAAAGTCAAAATGTATTAGATTTCTTGGCGTGGGCTCTATTTTTATTTTTAAAAGTACACAAATATTCAATCGCACTTTTTTTTCCTTATTCCTTTCATGCAGAGTTTATATTTCAAGAATAGAAGACAATTGCAACTAATCGATAATAAATAGACACAAGTGTCAATTTGGGGCCAGACATTCCCCACCCTGACTGAGCTTTGGTGGGAGGTCTGGCATCAGTGTGAAAAATGCTTACTTTCTGGGGGGAGGGCGGGGAGGTCTGTGCTGGGCTTTGGATCTCAGTGATTTCCACAGTAACTCCAAGATGCATTGTGCCTTCTATTTTTGGATTCACACTGGGAAGCCAATTAAATTAAAAGGCTATTCATTTCACTCTATTTGTCTCCAGGCTGCACAAATAGAAATGCAAACAACTTCTATTGAGTGAGTTTTCTGCCTCAAAGAGAATGAGATTGTAGCACCAAGCCCTGTGTAGTTCAGACTCCATTCTGCACTAAGGGCAATAAACACAAACCCCAACCCATGACTCCACTCTGAGGCTTCTTTTACAAACTGGATTTGAAGTTGTCCTAAATGAGGGCATAGTCAGCTTCCATGGACGCTCAGAAGTCTTAGTGCAGTTGTTGAAAATGGGCCTGTGTTTACTGAAGTGCACACAACTGAAAGAAGAAACTTTTTTCCAGCTTCCCTCCAAAGAGTGGAGAAAGGACGGAGCCTAAATGTGGGCACACTGCTTCCTTGGTGTTGCTTCTAGTCAGAGCAGGTCATGGCTCGCAGAGAAGAGAGCTGCCAGCAACTCCTGTGCTCCAACATCTAGTTCCAAATCCTACCAAATGGAGACAGTGTGCCGTTCCAATAGCTCAAACCAAAAGTCCAGAAATGAGCTGTGCTGGATGGACTCTTTGGCCTGACTTTTATCATGTGGCCAATGGTGATCAGATCAGAGGCTAAAGCACAGTTGACTTACCCCACCTGGGGCCCCTGTGAAGTGGTGAGTGACGATCAGCCTGATGGGTCATTAAGAGTTCTTGAGAAAGGATAAATGGGGCCCTGGCTGCTGCACTCAGTAGTTAGAGCATTGGTCAGCTGACTGAAGGGCCATGGGTTCGATTCCTGGTCAAGGGCACATATCTGGGTTGCGGGTTTCAGCCCCTACCCCTCAGTCAGGTCCCATGCAGGAGGCAACCAAACAACGTGTCTCTCTCACATCATTTCCCTCTCTCTCTCCTTCCCTTTCTCCACTCTCCCTAGAAATCAATGGGAAAGTATCCTCAGGTGAGGATTAACAACAACAAAAAAGGGTAAATGGGGACTGGACACTGGAGAACTGACCCCACATGTGTACTACATGAGTAGAAAGGACCTTTAAAAAGTAGGTTAACTGGTAGCTTGCCCAAGAAAAGAACTAGAAGCAACTTAAATTTGCAAAAATTTTCCTTTGAAACACATGTGGCTTTTGGGACATAGGAAGACTGTCCTCCAGTCTCCTTCTATAAAATGGATTTCAATTTTGGACAAATGATCTTCCTTAGAAGGAATAGGACTTTAAAACTAGCCTATGGTCTATAAAATGACAGCCTGCAACCTGCCATTTGTAGATCATTTCACAGCCTGGCCAGTCCAAATTGAAATTTGTCCATGAACAATGGCAGATGGAATGTTAGGCTGCCTCTAATGGCGGGGCTACCAGCGTCTTAGTGATAGAGAGCATGTGGGTGATGATGGCTATCGTGGCCTTCACTACTGCTTATTGAGACCTGTCAGGAAGGATGTAATAAGCAGACAAAATTTGAGACAACAAATATGTCTCAATGTTTATGAAAGCCCCAAACTATTTCCCAGAAAAAGTAGCCATTTAGAGCAAATTGAAAAAATCATGACTTTATCTTCACTATCAAAAAAAAAAAATCCCAATCTGAGAATAAGTCAGTCTTTGAAATTCATATTCATTTTTAAATGATTGGAAGGGAGGAAGGGAAAAAGGGGCAGAAGACAAAAAAAAAAGGAAGGAGAAAGGGAGGGAGAGAGAGAGGGGAGAAGGAAAGGTTGATACACAGAGCTCAGATGTAAAGAACAGTTTGACCATCTCAGTAACCTGCCTCTCAAATTTTAAACTACACTATTTTCTTTTCTTTCCCCATAAAATAGAACAAGTACAAAACTGAGACCTAATTTTCTATCAGGTAAAATCTCCTCTGAAAACTCTTGTTGTTCAGCCCCAAATAGTTAATGGAATCAAAATGAGTGGCCAGTTATTTTATTCTATTGTATTTATACTGTTCCCTATAAAAAGCAAAGCCATAAAACAAATGCAAGCAAACATGGACCAGAATGTTCATAGCAGGTCTGTTCATGAAAGCCCCAAACTGGAAAGAACCCAAATCTTCAGCAAGAATAGAATAGATAAATAAAAAGTGGCATATTCATACAATAGGAGTATTAATAATGAGAATAAACAAACTACAACTAGATGCAACAATATGCAAAAATCTCACAAGCATGATGTTTAACAAAAGAAACCAGATGTGATGGGATACTTGTTATATGGCTCCATTTATACTTACATTCAAAAACAGACAACTAATTGATGGTGATGAAAGCCACATTAGTGGTTAACACTGGGGAGAAGGGACATGTGGGAACCCCTAGGGTTCTATTTCTTGATTTGAACTATGGAAACACTTTGTGAAAATTCAAGTATGGCTTGTGCTTTTTCTGCATGTATGTTTTAATAAAAGATTCATATGATATGGGCAAATTTGGCGGGGGTGATGGAAATTTGCTATATTTCAACTGTGACAGTCATTACACAGTCATACTCATCAAACTGTAAACTTAAAATTGCTAAATTTTATTATATGCAAACTATACTTAATAAAACCAATTTTTAAATAAGTTTAAAGAGTTTAGAAAAAATCATTCTCTCTACACACCAAAAAAGTGAGACTAATTCAGAACAGAAAACAACTGTATGTATTTATTTCTGAGCTTTATTTTGCAGAAGAAACAAATAAATCAATGACTTAAATGTTTAAATATGTATAAATTATTAGACTTTAAATCCTCAAAGGCAGAGATTCTTATTATACATGAATCTTAGTACTAGCCAATTAGAAAACTGAGGCTAGGGATTATCGTTGCAATTCTAATTGAGAATCCTCTAAATTTCTCCCAGTGTCACTAACATGCCTGTATCAGCACATGATGGTGGCTGTGCACAATAATGTTGCCAAACAAGAAACCACAAAAACTCACATATTGCTCACACATCTGGAGTCAGCTGTGGGAGTGGAGTGGGGGTGACTGGGGGTCTCTGCTGATCTTCCATGGCCTGCTACCATGCCTGGGGTTACGCTAGCTACTGGGTGACATAAGTTGGTCTTAACTGGAATGACTGGGTCAACTGTGGTTGGGATCCTACAAGATGGTCCCCAGTGATACTCGCTTCCTGGTATCCATGCCCTTGTACAGTCCCCTCTATGTTAAATAGAGTTGTCCTGTGTAACCAATAGGATATTCCAAAGACTACACAGTCATTCCAAAGCTTGGTCACAAAAGACATTGGAGCTTCTGCCTTGCTCCATTTGGACCGCCCAGCTAAGTGGAAGCCAGACATCACATAGTGAAGATGCATAATCAGCTCTGTGGAGAGATTCACATGGTGAAGAACCAAGGCCTCAACATCCAGCAGCAACTTGCCAGACACACACAGGAGCCATCCTGAAAGTAGGCTCTCTAGCCCCAGCCAAATGACCAGAACCCTGAGCCAGAACCCTGAGCCAGAACCAGCTAGCTAAGCCACTCTTGAACTCCTAAATCACAGACACTCAGTAAAGTAACAAATGCTTATTGTCTTACGCTGCTAAGTTTTGGGATGATTTGTCATGCATTGATAGGTAACTAATACACTTGACTCTATACCATTTAGCTCTCATCAGGGTGACAGCAGAGACACAGGAGAGCAAGTGAAGGCATGCAAGCACTTTTCCAATCTCTTCCTTGCAGCATGTCTCCTCAGATCCCTTTGACCAAATTAATTCAAATTTCTCAGCTCAGACAGGTAGACCAGGGCAGCTCACCTACTGTGAGATGGCACTGGATATTTATATGGTAAAGAACATGGCTTGTGGTTTTAAAATGTGTCCCCAAATTATTTGATACTATCCCATTTAAAAAGAAGGACTTATTTCCCCTCCTCTGAATGTGGGCTTGACTTAGTAACTCACTCCTAATGAATAGAACTTGATAGAAGTGATGGTATGTGACTGTCTGGGTTGTCATAACAAGAATAGCGCTCTCTCTCTCTCTCTCTCTCTCTCTCTTTCTCTCTCTCCCTCTCCCTACTTCTCGCTCTCTCACTGATTTATGGCTCTGGGGGAAGCCACCCAATTAGGAGGACAGTCCAGCAGGCATGTAGGGAAATCCACATGGTAAAGAACTGAGGCCAACTACCAACAATCAGCACCAACTTGTCACCATGTTGGAGGTGGATTGTCCAGCTTCAGTCAAACCTTCAGATGACTGATACCCCAGCCCAGATCTCAAGGGCAACTGAGACCCTAAGCTAAGCTCCTCCTGAATATTCCTGACCCACAGAAACTGTGAGAGATATTGAAGTATTATTGTTGTTGTAAGCCACTAGGTTATGATATAGTCAAGATCCTTAGTTACACACAATAGCACCCTCTCTAGCTAGTTTAACTAGAAAAGAAACCTATTAACACTAGATTGCCCAAGGAAGTCATTTTGACTGCTTTTTAATTTCAATTAGAAAAACAATTATGTATATAAGGACACAATGTCTTAGAATTTTGTGACTTTTTGTACAACATATAAATGCGTTTATTAATAATTGTAGTTACCTCCCCCTCCTTCATTTCCAGTATATATATAAGTGTTATACCTATATTGCCCAAAAGCAGTCATTTTGACTGCTTGGGGAAATTTTAAATAATCAAATGACTCTTATTATTGAATTGAGTAAATTTCCTATATGACCAGTTCGGCTCTGTATTGAAATAACAGTTTTCATTTTTTTTCGATTACCGTCACATGATAACATACAAGTACATGATAAATTGTCGATACTTGATAAGTTGCAGTTGCTCAATAAGGTAAACTAGTACTTGGTATTCGAATCTTTATGCAATGATACTTGTTCTAATAGGCTGTTTATTGTATTTCTTTTGCTCCCTAAATTCATGAAAGAAATGTCAAAGAGAAGGGAGTTACTGGAAAAGCTAACGAACATAAGTGAAGAGTGCTCCGATATAGAATCAGATGCAGCAAATTCTGAAGTATCACCTGAAAATGAAGCGGATTATATTCAAAGTGAAACATCTGACACTGAAGATAGCGATGAAGAGCCGATCACCAATGATGAAAAGGAAAGTGCCATCAATATGCCCAGGAAAAGGTGTAGGGTGCTAAGTAGTTCAGACTCTGATGAAGAAACTGAACACACCGTTCAGGAGACCGAAACAGCTGCCGATGGTACTGTGTGGTCAAAATTTGACGAAGGTGGTATTCCTGGAAGGTTACCATGTACTTGTATTTTCAAGGGTGTGAAAGGGCCAACAGGCTACGCAAAAAGGAACATTATGGCAGATAATCTTATCAGTGCATTCTCGTTGATAATAGATAACTATATTATCAAACATATAAAGAAGTGCACAGAAGAAGAAGGCCGCCGAATTTTGAGGAACGATTGGACAACAACATTACCGGAAATACGTGCATTTATTGGGATTTTATATGCTCGTGGAGCCTACGAGGCAAAAAATTTAAAACTCAGTTATTTATGGTCAGCAAAGTGGGGTCCCGAATTCTTCAGGAAAACTATGGCCAGAGAAAAGTTCAAGCAAATCCTACGATTTATTCCTTTTAACAGAAGAACCGAAAGAAGTAGGCACCTACAACAAATAAGTTTGCCTTGGTTTCGGAAGTATGGGACAAGTTCATTGAAAAGAGTCAAGCTTGCTATCAACCAGGGCAAAATATAACAGTTGACGAGCAATTATTTCCGTCAAAAGCCAGGTGCAGGTTTACACAGTATATGCCTAATAAACCCAACAAATTTGGCATCAAATTCTGGCTTGCATCAGATGTTAGTAGCAAATATGTTTTGAATGGTTTTCCTTATTTGGGGAAAGATGAACAGCAACCATCGTCAATGCTTCTCAGTGAACACATTGTTCTGAAACTTGTCGAGCCATACACAGGCTGTGGAAGAAATGTCACGACCGATAACTTTTTCACCAGCATGTCACTCGCGACAAAATTATTGGCCAAACAAACACCTCTAGTTGGAACTATTAGAGGAAACAAAAGAGAACTGCCCAAAGCAGCCAAACAAACGAAGGACAACATGCCTCGTTTTTCCACGCTGCTATATAAATCAGAGAATTGCGTTCTTACAGTGTATAAAAGCAAACCAAATAAAAGAGTAGCTGTTCTAAGTTCTAGGCATAAATTTGTGAAAATTGATAAGAATAATAAAAAAATGTTACCGGAATCTATTCAATTTTATAACAGCACAAAATTTGGAGTTGATATGGCGGATCAAATGGCCAGAAAATACACAGTAAAAGCTAGTTCTCGTAGATGGCCCCTCCAAATATTTTTCAATATTTTAGATTTGGCTGCTATAAATGCTTGGATCCTTTACAAAGAAACGACAGGAATACAACTACAACGAAAAGAGTTCTTGTTTCAATTAGCAGAACAGCTTTCCACCGAATACAGAGCTGCAAGACAGAAAAATTCATCAGAACATGAAGACCCACAAAGATCAACTACAACATCATCAAATGCAACCCATTCTAAGAAACGCAAAATTTGTCAAGTACGACTTTGCCACAACAACAAAACAAATAATATATGTGAAAAATGTCAAAAGTATATTTGCGGAAGATGTACACATAAAAAGATTTCCACTTTCATTTGCATGAAATGTACAAATAATAATGCATAAATTATTTTTTTTCCAAGTGAGGTACATTTTTTTGTTAATATTTACTAATACCTTGTTATATAACTGTAAATACTATACAAAATATTAAAAATTAATTTTAAACAAATTTCTTTACACATTAGTTATTCTTTCACAATGCAGTCATTTTGACTGCTTTTGGGCAATATAGGTATATACTAAATTTCAGTCTTTCTAGTGTTAAAGAGTTTGAAGAATCTCCAAGAGATCCAGAACATCAGGCCTAGAGGCTACAAAGGCAACAGCAATGTCCAAAACACAGGGAAATTCTGCTCCAGGCCCCAATTCCTGCTGAAGCTGGATTAAGATACCTCAGCTTGCATCACTGAAGTTGGTAGCCAGATGCCTGTATATCCACCATTAATATCCTAGAAAGCTTCACCACTCCCTGGAATCTGTGAAGTGCCAGCTTCATCTGGCTGCTCTCTTCCAATCAGAAGTCTTGCACAGGTGCAGATGATTGGTGGACTCTATCTGCAAGGGAGGATGGGAAAAATGAAATATGGGTTGTATATATGGGGAAGTATTATTCACTAGATAGATAATATTCTAGTAATTGGAAAGGTGTTCAAATGGTGTGAGGAGCTAGGAAAATTGACAAATGCTCACTTCTTCCCATATAAAATCAGTGTTACATTACTAAAATACAGATAATTAGAGAAATTGACATCTTCTTTTTACTTGGAACTTAAATTGGTAAATTAATTTAATCTCCAGTATCACTTCTAATCAATTGCTAATGACTGCCTAGATTTATGTGCTACAATGAACTCTAGGCTCAGTTGGAAAAAGATCTGGGATCAAGTTACAATGATGATATGTGTGCTGCATATTTGGGTTAAATAATAGGTACCTACAAAAATAAATGGCCTCAATCTTTGTGTTTTCTCTCTTTTCCTGAAAGAAGGGTATGAAGCTCCCCCCATGACATTTTATAATTTAGGTTAAACTGTTCCCACTGACCAAATCCTCTTTTAGTCATCTATCTGAAATGGCACACAAGCCATCCATGTCCCCAGTGCACCACTCCGTACTTGGTAGAACCCAGATATATAAAACAATTCTCTGGCCGAACATGGTTTCCTGTTCTGTCTCTTCCTCAATTCACTCACCTTCATATCATCCCCTGAGGGACCCCTCAAATAACCCCAAATTCCACAACACACACTTTGAATATCATGGACCTATGCCATTGGCATATCCTCCAGCTTCCCTCCCATTGCTCTTTTGTTCCTGCTCATTTCCTCTTTGCTTTTCCTCAAATTCAGTCAATCAGTATGAATAAATCGGGCACAAACAGTCCCTACACTTTGGCCTTTCCATTTCCCCTTTTTGGATGATGTAATTTCCCCCGTGTGAGTCAATAATGTTTACAGCCCGAGAACTTGGCATGCTTTGTTGTCTTTCAGTCACAGGAGGGACACAGACCAACTTCAGGATAGGCTATGATAGATAAGTCTACATTAAGTTGCATCATCTTCTTCCTTGTGCTAATAACAAAAGACTTCCCTATCTGAAGACAGAATATCACACCTGTTGTGTCATGGTTTCAGGGGTGCACACTCCTCACCTTTCCTCATTTCTCCTTAGCCACTGTTGCTCAGTGTGCCTGCAGCAGTCTCATTATTATGTTAGGAAACAGGATATTTGCACATACATACCATAGAGCAGTGCTTTTCAGACTTTACGTGCTTACAAACCACCTGGACATCTGTTTAAATGCAGATTTCTGTTTCAGCAGGTTGACCAAGATCTTCCACTCCCATCAATCTCCCAAGTGATGCTGATGCTTCTGGTCTAGGGGCTACTATTTACCTAGCAAAATTCTAGAAGACCCAGTCTCATCCACAATGGAGGCACTTACCTCTTTTCCTAGAACTCTAATTATTCACATTTTCTTCTTACTTCTGTCCTTCGGATCACATTCCTTCACCATCGATCCCCTAGACATGGGTGTCCATTCCTTCTATACTTGTGATCACACTAATTGTACTCATTCAATGAGCCAATCATCATCAAGCACCTACCATGAGCCAGACACCATGCTGGGCACTAGGGATACATCCAGGAACAAGATTATGCCTGTTCACATGGAACCTATAGTCTAAAGAGGAAGACATTAGTTTCTTCTTGTCTGATCACTGTGGCTAGGACTTCCAGTACTATCTATTATATATAAAAGCCTAAGCGACCATCCGACTGTTCGACCACCTGACCAGTAGCTATGATGCACAATGACCACCAAGGGACAGACACTCCAACCAGTAGCTATGATGTGCACTGACCACCAGGGTGCAGATGCTCAACACAGGAGCCTGCTGAGCTGCAGTGACTTGGCAGCTGCGGTTCTTGGGTGATGCACCCAGAACTAGAGAGGAGGGAGCCCAATTCCAGGGTACATCACCTGAGAACCACCCTCTCGCAATCTGGGACCTCTCAGGGGATGTTGGAGAGCTGGTTTCAATCTGATCCCCACAGGCCAGGCTGAGGAACCTCACTGGTGCATGAATCCGTTCACCGGGCCTCTAGTGTTGAATAAGAGTGGTGAAAGCAGACATCCAGTCTTGTTCCTGTTCTTAATGGAAACACTTTTAGTTTTTGCCCATTTTGTATGATGATGTCAGTGGGTTTGTTAAATATGGCCTTTATTATGTTGAGATATGATCACTCTATTCACACTTTGCTGAGAGTTTTTATCGTAAATGGGTGCTGGATTTTGTTGAATGTTTTTTCTGCATCTATTGATATGATCATGTGATTTTTATCTTTCATTTTGTTTATGTGATGTATCACACTTATTGTTTTGCAAATATTGTACCAGCCTTGCATCCCCTGAATAAATCCTACTTGGTCATGGGATATGCTCTTTTCAGTGTACTGCTGGATCAGATTTGCTAATATTTTGTTGAGAATTTTAGCATTTATGTTCATTAGAGATATTGGCCTGTAATTTTCTTTCTTTGTAGTGTCTTTGTCTCTTTTGGAACTAGGATAGAGCTTGGAAGTGTACCTTCCTCTTGAATTTTTCAGAATAATTTTAGGAGGATGTGTGTTCTATTTTGAATGTTTGGTAAAATTCTCCTGTAAATCCATCCAGTCCTAGAGTTTTATTTGCTGGGATTTTTTTTTAACTGCTTCAATTTCTTTAGTTGTTATTAGCCTATTTAGGTTTTCTGATTCTTTCTGATTCAGTTTTGGAAGATTATATGTTTCTAGAAATTTGTCCATTTTGTCCAGGTTGTCCAGTTTGATGGCATATAGTTGTTCATAGTATTTTCTTACAATTCTTTGTATTTCTGTGGTGTCAGTTGTTATATTGCCTCTTTCATTTCTGATTTTATTTATTTGGGTCCTCTCTCTTCGTTTCTTGATGAGTCTGGCTTAGAGTTCATCAATCTTGTTTATCTTTTCAAAGAACTAGCTCTTATTTTCATCAATTTTTTTCTATTGTTTTTTTTTTTAGTCTCTATGTCATTTATTTCCACTCTGATCTTTATTATTTCCTTCCTTCTACTTCCTTTGGGCTTTTCTTGCTGTTCTCTTTCTAATTCTCTTAATTGTATTAGATAGTATTAGATAGTTTATTAGAGTTTTTTTATTTTTATTCTTTTTTCTTGAGGTAGGCTATAAATGCTATGAATTTCCCTCTCAGGAATGCTTTCACTGTGTCCCATAGATTTTGGATTGTTGTATGTTCAATTTCATTTGTTTCCAGAAAGTTTTTTATTTCTTCTTTGATCTCATTGGTAACCCATTTATTGTTTAATAACATATTATTTATTCTCCATGTATTTGAATGTTTATGAGATTTTTTTAATTATAGTTAATTTCTAGTTTTATGCCACTGTCATCCGAGAAGATGCTTGATATGATATCGATCTTCTTGAACTTGTACAGTGTTATTTTGTGTCCTAACATATGGTCTACCTTTGAAAATGTTCTGTGTGCATTTGAGAAGAATGTATATTCTGCCTCTTAGAGATTAAGTGTTCTATGAATATCAATTAGATCCATTTGATCTAGTGTATCATTTAAGGCTGCTGTTTCCTTGTTGATTTTTTCTCTGCATGTTCACTGTGGCATGGAAGTCCTAGCCACAGTGATCAAACAAAAAAAGATAAAAGGCATCCAAATTGAAAAGGAGGTTGTAAAATTATCAGAATTTTCAGATGACATGATATTTTACATAGAAAACCCTAAAGACTCCACCAGGAAATTATTAGACATAATAAATGAATTTGGCAAGGTAGCAGGATACAAAATCAACATCCAGAAATAAATGGCATATTTATACACCAATAATTAACTCTCAGAAAAAGAAACTTTACAAAAAATCCCATTTACCATTGCAACGCAACAACAACAAAAAATAAGATACCTAGGAATAAACTTAACCAAAGACGTAAAAGATCTGTACTCAGAAAACTAAAGGACATTAAAAAACAAAATGGAGGAAGGCACAAACAAGTAGAAGCATATAACGTGTTCATGGATTGGAAGAATTAACATAATTAAAATATCCATACTACCCAAAGCAATCTATAGATTCAACCCAATTCTTATTAAAATATCAATGGCATACTTCACTAGCCTAGAACAAATACTCCTAAAATTTATATAGAATGAAAAAGGACCCTGAATAAACACAACAATCTTGAGAAAAAAGAACAAAGTTGAAGGGGTCACAATACTGGTTATCAAACTATACTACAAAGCCATTATAATCAAAAGAGTCTAGTACTGGCACAAGAACAGGCATATAGACAAATGAAATAGAACAGAGACCCCAGAAATAGACCCATACCATTCAGGTTGATTAATATTTGACAAAGGAAGAAAGAACATACAATGGAGTAAAGACAGTCTCGTTAACAAATGGTGTTGGGAAAATTGGACGGGTATACGCAAAAAGATGAAACTAGATCACCATTTACACCATACACAAGAATAAACTCAAAATGGATAAAAGACTTAAACATAAGTCGTGAAACCATAAAAAAAATCCTAGAAGAAACCATAGGCAGAAAAATCTCAGACATCTCACATAACAGAATTTTTGCCAATACATCTTCTAGGTCAAGAGAAACAAAGGGAAAAGTAAATAAATGAGACTACGTCAAACTAAAAAGCCCTACACAGCAAAAGAAACCATCATCAAAATGAAAAGAGAACCCACTATATGGGAGAACATATTTGCCAATGATAGGGGTTAATTTCAAAAATATATAATGAGAAAAATATTTAACAAATAATTATTCAAAAATAATTTGTAGCCCAGCCGACATGGCTCATTGATTGAACCAGGCGGGGGTCATAGTTTGATTCCCAGTCAGGGCACATGCCTCGGTTGCAGGCTCGATCCCCAGTGTGGGGTATTCAGGGGAGAGCTGATCAATGATTTTCTCTCATTGTTGATGTTTCTATCTCTCTCTTCCTCTTCCTTCCTTTGTGAAATGGTAAAAATTAAAAAAAAAAAATTGTAACCGTAAGGAGTGCTATGAATGAAAATTAAAGGATGCTTTGAGAAAAAATAATGAGGAAAAAACTAACCAAGACTCCTGAGTCCTTGGGATTTCCACTTCACACGAGTTCCTTGGTTTTGTACAAACTGAGCCTTCTCTCTGGTGAGGCAGAGTATAAGAAGTTTCCCTCATGCCTTCGACCTTCCTCTTGACCATGGGTACCAGTGTGCAGTTGGTGTTTCATGGACACACTCACCTTTGGCAGGAAGATGAGCATGGCACAGAGCTTATGGTTGGCAGGCACATCCTGAGCTTCCATAACTCCAAATTATTATTGGATTGCCTCATGTCATGACTGACCCTTGGCTCCCCTTGGTAATGGATCTGGCCATCTGCAAAAGCAAGCTGTTCCCTCCCAAATTCTGGTCAACACTTTCCCTTCCCTCAAAAATGACAGCAAATATAATACCCTGAGTTCTTCCCTCTCATGACCTCTTTTGCTGATCTATTACCTAGAACTACACTGGCTATTGCCAGAAAATTACACCAACTAAAACCAAAGTCTTTAATATTCATTGATTAAGAATTATAAGGTCCAAATCTTGGTGCCATATTAGGGATTTGGGGCTCCTTAGGTTCAGAAGACTTCTCCAGTTGCAATAGTTGTTCTTTCCAATATCACAAAAAAAAAAGACATCGAGACTGCAGAACCATTGTAACCTGTAAAAGATAAGGTCTACCAGGGCTTCTGCTCCAAGTTCATTCCTGTATGGTGTTACATTCAAGGAAATAATAATCCATCAGCCAAACCACATCTATAATGCAAGTTGAATTTTTCCAGAAATCTATTGAAAGGGGATTCCATTAGTCCATTTTAACTTTTAAGATAACTTTAATTCCTGTTTGCTAATATTTGTTCTTTTCTACTTTTTTGTCCTTTTCAATATTTCACATCTATAGTAGCTTCCCCAATGACTTCTCTCTTCTCCTCTTAAAACTATCCTAATTCTCCATCCAACCAGACCCATTGCACTTCAGAACTTCATCACCAACCTTCTCCCTCCCTGGATTTGTTCTTCCAAAGTCCTGAGATAAGAGCTTTTCTCTCTCTCCAGTTTGGACCAGCTCAGTAGGAACTGGCCCTCTGAGTCCTGTCACTCTGGCCAATGGCTTGATTCAGGAAAAAGAGCGGACAGGTGTACATTCTCCCACATTGTCTGTTCTTGGTTTCATTACTACCACATCTTTAACCAGGAATTAATTCATTCTTTTTTCAAAGAGAAGAACCAGGGCAGTTATTACTAACATACTAGTGTTTGTTGATTAAGAAAATAGAAAATGGCAAAAAGCTAATGCAAAATTAGTAAACTTTTTATTCAACTGACTAGCATATACTAGTACATTCAATTAAAAACATGTGTGTATGTAAATACATCTGCATATATACCCCAAAACACATATATAGGGTTTCCCAAAAATTGTATACTCACACTTTAAATAATTATAAAAGCAATGTTTCTTCAAAATACATTTCATTTTCAAAATTGAGCTATCAGCTGTTCAAGTGTGAATACATTTTTCAGACATCTTGTATACAGTCATGTGCTACACAACAATATTTCAGTCAATGATGAATCTCATATACAAGAATGGCATACAATCTAGCCGTGGTATGTAGTAGGCTATACCATCTTGGTTTATGTAAGTGCACTCTACGATGTTTGCATAGGGATGAAACTGCCTTACGATGCATTTCTCAGAATGTATCTCTATCA